CGCAGTGGCAGAAGTGCCGCCTGCTCCTGCGCAGGGCTGTGGCCGAGGAACGCTTCCGCCTGGAGTTCTTCGTGCCGCCCAAGGTGAGTTACCCCATAACTTCCACCTCCTGGGGGGACCAGAGGGGGCGCCTGGGCAGCAGCTGAGGGTGCCAGGGACACTGCCTTTGGGGACCACGTGGTCTAATCTGGTTGACAGGGTGGAGTATTTGGTGCCAGGACCCTGGGAGGTGGGCCTGTCATGCCTCTTGGACAAGTCACCCCTTCAACCCTGGTTCTTCCTTTGCCAGGAAGGGCCCTCTGGCTACACCAAAGGGTTCTGGGGCACTGGTTTTTTCTTTTCTTTCTTCTTTTTCTGTGTGTGTGTGTGTGTGTGTGTGTGTGTGTGTGTGTGTGTGTCCGTCTGTCCCTCTGTCGCCCAGGCGGGAGTGCAGTGGTACAATCTCGGCTCACTGCAAACTGTGCCACCCGAACTCAAGGGATTCTCCTGCCTCAGCCTCCAGAGTAGCTGGGATTTACAGGCACCCGCCATGATGCCCGGCTAATTTTTGTATTTTTAGTAGAGACAGGGTTTTGCCATGTTGGCCAGTCTGGTCTCGAACTCCTGACCTCAAGTGATCTGCTTGCCTCAGCCTCCCAAGGTGTTGGGATTACAGGCCTGAGCCACCATGTCCGACCTTTCTTTCTTTTTTGTTTCGAGATGGGGCTGTCACCCAGGCTGGAATGCAGTGGTGCAATCATGGCTCACTGCAGCCTCCACCTCCCAGGCTCAAGCAGTCCTCTGTTAGCATCCCGCGTAGCTGGGACCACACACACCACCACTCCCAGCTAATGTTTTTTTTATTTTTCTTAAAGACAGGATCTATGTTGCTCAACTGGTCTGGAAGTTCTGAGCTCAAGAGATCTTCCCCCACCTTGGCCTCCCAAAGTGCTGGGATTATAAGCATGAGCCACTGTGCCCGGCCCAGGGCACCGTTCTTGATGTTGTTCAAGAGACCGGCTACCTGCCCTCCTCTCCTGCAGCCCGAGGGTGCCTAGCACCTCCCAGAGCCGAGGCCTGCAGGGATGAGGGCAGGAGTGACTGAGCACATTCACAGAGGGCTCCCTGGGAGGTCTGTGTCTGACTCCATGGGGCTCTGCTCTTCCCCAGCTCAGCTGCCAGGCTCCAGCCCAGCGCCTGTCCAGGGGGTCCTTTTCTGGCCAGGGAGATGCCAGGCTTCTTTCTAGCTGTCACCAACATTGTTGCTCACTGGCGTGCACTGACCCTTCCCCTCTTAAGGGCTGGCCGTCAGGTCCCTGGCAGTAGTGTCACATCTTCTCCAAGGTGGCCCCCCTGCTTTGGAGAGTGGGAATAGTGTAACAATAGTGCCCAGCGTCTGAGAGCCCACAGTGTGTCCAGACCCCAGCCTGGTGGGCATCTGTACAGAGATGCTGTCATCATCTAGGTACCCCACCCCGGCAAGGTGAGCACATGGTCCCCAGATTACAGAAGAGAGCGCAGACAGATGTTCAGAGAGGGAGTGTGGCCTGCCCAACGTCACCCAGATGGCAGGTGCCAGAGCTTGGCTAACATGGTGGGGCATGGTGGCGCGCACTTGTAGTCCAAGCTACTTGGGAGGCTGAGGCAGGAGCATCGCCTGAACCCAAGAGGCAGAGGTTGCAGTGAGCCAAGACCACACCACTGCCCTCCAAGCTAGGCAACAGAGTGAGACCCTATCTCAAAAAAACAAAACAAAACAAAACAACTGGGAGCCGAGCACGGTGGCTCACACCTGTAATCCCAGCACTTTGGGAGGCCGAGGCAGGCAGATCACCTGAGGTCGGGAGTTCGTGACCAGCCTGACCAACATGGAGAAACCCCATCTCTACTAAAAATATAGGATTACATGCCTGTAATCCCAGCTACTTGGGAGGTTGAGGCAGGAGAGTCACTTGAACCCGGGAGGCGGAGGTTGCAGTGAGCTGAGATCATGCCATTGGACTCCAGCCTGGGCAACAAGAGCGAAACTCTGTCTCAAAAAAAAAAACAAAAACTGGTCTAATGATACCCACCACCCTGGTGGTCCCAAGAATGAAAGGAACGTGGAAGTGGAGGTCCTTGGGCACTGGGAAGTTGGGGCAGGGGGAGGCTTTGCTGGTGCAGCAGCGGACAGCAACCCCGGGGACCACCGGGGGCCCCCACCCACCTCCTGCGTCAGGGCCCACTCTGTCCCTGGGTGCTCTCTGAGTCACCCACAGCTTCTTGGCTCTCTCTCCATCTCTCAGTCTGCTGGGGGAATCTGGGTGCCTGGAGGTGCAAGGGTATGGGCTCCCCAAAGCTCAGTGCCCATGAGCGACATGGGCCCTGGAGAAGTGACGTCCTGGGGACACAGCTACTCTCTGAAGAGTTTTTTCCCCAGGTCCTAACCACCCCTCCACTTCTCTAGGGCTTTTTTCCAGGCCCCTGCCTTTTATTTCCTGGGAGAAATCCTAGACCCTAAGCCCGACTCCACTCCTTGTCAGAAAGGGAGACCGAGGCCCAGTGACGGGTGGGGTGGGGCTTACCCAGGGTCACCCAGAGGGCAGGGACAGAGGCCCAGGGCTCCAGCGCCTTGGGCCTGAGTGACAGTCACAGCTGCCCTTCTGTAAATAGCAGTGTCTGCTGCCGTCGGAGGAGGGGAAGCAGCAGCTGGTGCCCCCCCACCACCTCCTTAGCCCCGGCAGAGCCCACTAATTTTGCTTTTGGCAGAAGGCAGCGTTCCTGTGGGGTCACTGGGCCCTTCCCCTCCTTTGTGTCATGCCAAGGTGGGGGCATTTGTGGGTATTCAGGAGTCGTTCCCGTGGGAGGGCAGCTCCTACCATGTAAAGAGCTTGGTTGAGTTTCCCAAATGTGTCTGGTCCCAGGAGACAGGCTCCCAGGGTGAGTGAGCCCCCGGGATGCCCCGAATGATACCCCCACTGCCTCTGCACCCACCCACGGTCCAGTTCTCTTGCCTCCGAGAGGCCTGGATGCACCCTTGGAGCCATCAGGAGCTCGGGGCCTGCAGGCTCAGGGGCCATTGCCTGCCTGGCACCTTAGATTTCCCTCTCACACAACCTTTGAGGTGCCAGCCCCAGTGAGTCAGGTCTCTGGCTTCCTGCCTCCTCACCCCTGCAGGAAGAGCCTCCTGAACCCCAGGTCCCCTCATTGCCCTATGCCAGGCCAAGCCCTGGGGACCCAAGGAGCAACGAGGCCAGCCCCCTGCCATTAGGGAAGCCACTGGGAAACCTGGTATTTTCAGGATGCTTGCAAATCTTAGTGGGGTCAGTCGGGCGCGGTGACTCACGCCTGTAATCCCAGCACTTTGGGAGGCTGAGGCGGGTGGATCACTTGAGGTCAGGAGTTCGAGACCAGCCTGGCCAACATGGTGAAACCCCGTGTCTACTGAAAATACAAAAATTAGCCAGGCATGGTGGTAGGCACCTGTAGTCCCAGCTACTCGGGAGGCTGAGGCAGGAGAATCCCTTGAACCAGGGAGGTGGAGGTTGTAGTGAGCTGAGATCGTACCACTGCACTTCAGACTGGGTGACAGAGTGAGACTCTGTCTCAAAAAAAAAAAAGAAAAGAAAAAAAAAGAAATTTCAGTGGGGTAAGCCCTGGAGGAAAAGCTTGGGCTACCTACGTGTTCACCAGGTGGCCAGGACCCTAGAACGGGCACTTCTGGAGGATCAAGCTCTCTGAGTAAAGGCCTGGAGTTATAAAACAAGTTGACCATTCAGGCATGTGGGCACAGTGAGTTGTGGCTGGAGCAGGTGGGAGGAAGCTGGACCAGGACAAATGGACCTCAGATTCCAAGCTGGGGAACCAAAGCGTCTCTGGCCAGCAGGATCCCTGCTGAAGCTTCCAGTCCAGGCCTCCACTGCAAGCCTCTGTCTGCTCTGTCCCCAGCCCTGCTGGCCGGCATGACGGCCGCACACCAGGGTCAGCCAGCCTCTGTTCCTGCTCCAAGCCCAGCTCTGCCCCTGCTGGACAGGGGCCAGTTCTTCCTGGAATTCCCATCTGCCTGCCCATCAAATGTGTGGCCTTTCCTTTTCCTCCTAAGAAAGTTCCTGTCTCGGAAACCAAGCCTTGCTGGGAATCCCAGACTCAGGCCAGCCCCAGGAGGGGCCTCAGGCTCACGGCAGGGAGCTTTGAGGCAGAGTGAGTGGAGCCAGGCACAGAGTGGCGGTCCCACAGAGCCCTGCCAGCTCACCTTGGATCAACCCTGCCCGCAGCGTTGTTGGGAACACTGGTCCCTTTTACTCACTCCAGGAAACAGCAAGCCCCGTTCTGAGCCGGGGGCTCCAGGCCCTGCTCTGGAAGGTCAGGTCTGTAGCAGGAGACCAGCATTTTTTCTTCTTTCTTTTTTTTTTTTTTTAAGTGACCGGGTTTTAAGACCATCATTTTTTATTTTTTATTTTTTATTTTTTACTTTATTTTATTTTATTTTTTGAGACAGAGTGTCACTCTGTTGCCCAGGCTGGAGTGCAGTGATGTAATCTCGGCTCACTGCAACCTCCACCTCCCGGGTTCAAGTGATTCTCTTGCCTCAGCCTCCCAAGTAGCTGGGATTACAGGCGCACACCACCACGCCTGGCTAATTTTTATATTTCTAGTAGAGATGGGGTTTCACCATGTTGCCCAGGCTGGCCTCGAATTCCTGACCTCAAGTCATCCTCCTTGGCCTCCCAAAGTGCTGAAATTACAGGTGTGAGCCACTACGCCCAGCCAAGACCAGCATTTTTTAAAAAGTGAACTAGAATAGAAGAGAAAATATCACACTCTATCACACACGGGAAGGGTAACTGTTTTCTGGTGAGATGTTTGCTTCAGAGATATTTTTACCTGCGTGTGTGTGTACTGGGCCCCAGTGTTGAATGTATTTCTCACAATGGGTCAAGGTCAAAAATAAGAAAACCACAGATCTCGTGGGTGTATCAGGCAGCCCAGGTGGGGTTCTCTCCTCAAGGCTGGGAGGTAGGAGGCTCAGATGTCAATTCTGGTTCTGTCCTGGACTTGCTAGGTGACTATAGGAGGAGTTCCTTTTTTTTTTTTTTTTTTTTTTAGGCAGGATCTCACTCTTGTCACCCAGGCGGGAGTATAGTGGTACCGTCATAGCTCATTGCAGCCTCGACCTCCCCCGATCAAGCGATCCTTCCA